AATTCAACTTCCGTTTTCACTTAGCAACAATTATTTCTAGAACCCAAACGCGACCTTCTCTCGGGTCACAAAGTTCCGCGTTCCACACAACAAACTAAGATTCTTTCGTACGATATTAACAGGCCACTCAAGCAAATTAAATATTGCAAATGCGCTTCTAAATACAATCCCTCACGAGTCTAGCGAAAAAACTGCAATAGTAAATTCCACACGCATCAAGACCGGAAGTTGATCGTAATCAATATTAACTTCCAAAACAATTAATCGACCCGGCGTCCGCGCAGATAATCTATTTTTCTAGATTCAACAAAATCCTCGTCGTTGCATAAATTTGCTAACAAAACCCGACACTATTTAGAGGTTATACGGTACGCGACCACGCTGTCCTAGTGACTGCACTGCATTAATTACTTCCGACGCACCCCGCCTGCCACCAACTCCGCTCGCGCGGACGTCAAACCGGTACGAATGCACCGCGCCGAGCGCCCTCTGGCGTTAATTCTTAGAATTAGCGTTTGGCGCGAACACCAACCATATACGGAATATACAGTGTCATATCATTTCCGTTCTGAATGGACGCATAAAGTGAACAAAACATATAAACCATATACGGAATATACAGAGTGTCATATCATTTCTGTCATGAACGGACGTATGAAGTGAGCAAAACATACATAACCTATATGGAAAATACAGAGTACCATATCATTTCCGTTCTGAATGGACGCATGAAGTGAGCAAAGCATACCAACCATATACGGAATATACAGAGTGCCATATCATTTCCGTTCTGAATGGACGCATGAAGTGAGCAAAGCATACCAACCATATACGGAATATACAGAGTGCCATATCATTTCCGTTCTGAATGGACGCATGAAGTGAGCAAAGCATCTTTGCATACCTGTAGAAAAGGTTAGAATTTCTTTTAAGAAAAGGTCAAATTGGCAGACAGCATTAAAAGAGCGTGTAAAACTAAAAGATACTTATATCAAAAAATACTGAAATATAAGAAAAACGAATTAATACCGTATTATAAGAAATACTGCAAAATATTAAAATCCGTAACACGTTTAGCAAAACAAAAATCAAATATAAAATTCATTAAAAATAGTAACTACAAAAATAAAGCTACATGGTACTTAATAAGAAAGCAAACCACTTCACAAAACATATTCAAAACAACTATTAAAAATGTGACCATTGATAATACTAATATCACGGATGCAGGTGCTATAGCAGAAGTTTTTAACACTTATTTTGCTACCATTAACACTCAAACACAAGCCACAGACACCTACCCTCTACCATCTACACATCTACATAGCCTATATTTATCACCCGTTGACGCAAATGAATTGAAAAAAATAATCATAAACCTGAAAAATAAAAAAGTTGCGGCTATGACAATATATCGATCCAAATTATTAAAAAATCCATAGAGTATATTAGTGAGCCGCTTGTTTATTTACTTAACTTAATGATAGAAACTGGTACCTTTCCACATGAATTAAAAACAGCAAAAATCAAACCTTTGTTCAAAAAAGGTTCAAAATGTAATATCAAAGACTATAGGCCCATAGCTCTTTTATCCAACTTCTCAAAAATATTTGAAAGAATCATCTACGATAGGATTATAGAGTTTTTCAAAAAATATAGTATAATAAATAAAAATCAATTTGGTTTTCAGAAAAATAAATCCACTACACTTGCAATGTATGAAATACTTAAGGAAATTTGGGAATCTTTAAATAATAAAACTTCTTGTGTAGGTTTGTTTTTAGATACGTCAAAGGCATTTGACTGTGTAATATACGATGTACTATTAAATAAACTTGACAAATTAGGTATACGTGGTTTAGCATTAAAATTGTTAGAAAGCTATTTAAAAAATAGAGAACAACACACAGCTATTGAAAAATTTGACAAAATCAGTAAAACTTTCGAAGAAGTACAGTCCAAGCCAGTTAAAATGACACTAGGTTTGCCACAGGGGAGTATTTTGGGCCCTCTGTTATTCTTAGTTTATGTGAATGACTTGCCAAATGTCACTGACAATAGATGTGTTATGTTTGCTGATGATGCAACTATCTTTATACCCGATACTCAAATGAATTTTGAAAATAACATAAATAAAACCTTAAAAATAGCAATCGAATGGCTTAATAAAATTAATTTAAACGTAAATCTAACAAAAACTAAAATTATTCAATTCAGAAATTACAAAACAAAATCTTTAAATTTAAATATTGCAGATAAAGACACCCAAATAGAAACAGTTGATAACATTAATTTTCTTGGAGTCACCATAGACTGTCATTTAAACTGGAAATCCCACATTGAAAAAATAAACAAAAAAATATCTAGCTATAGTTACGCATTATCCATATTAGCAGAAACAACTACCGTTGATGTATCAAGGGCTGCATACTTCGGCCAGGTATACCCTCTATTAGTTTACGGCGTTATTTTCTGGGGTAATTCTACAAACGTGCAGTCAACATTTATTCTACAAAAGCGATGTCTGAGGATCATTTATAATATGTACTCAGAAGAAACTCTAAGAAATGTATTCAAAGAAAAAGGTTATCTCACTCTTACTAATATTTACATTTTAGAAATTTCAATTTTTATCAAACAGAATAACAAATATTTTCAGATTAAATCAAACTTGAATTCACGTCCAATACGTAGTCAATATAAGAACAATTTATGTACACCTAAAATTAATAATTACATGTATTATAAGAGCACTTTTTGTACAGGTATTAAAATATTCAATCATCTGCCACCTAATATAAAAGCTATGGACTTGCCAAGATTTAAAATACACCTCAAGAAGTGGTTAATATATAATGTGTTTTATAATTTAAATGAATATTTTAATACCAAACATTAATTTATATAAAGTTTTATTTCTTAATTATTGCATACCCGATATGGGTAAACTATGTAACATTTAATTGCAATGTCACCCGCAAATTGTACATACACAGCTTATTGGCAATAAATATTCTGATTCTGATTCTGATTCTGATACCAACCATATACGGAATATACAGAGTGCCATATCATTTCCGTTCTGAATGGACGCATGAAGTGAGCAAAGCATACCAACCATATACGGAATATACAGAATGCCATATCATTTCCGTTCTGAATGGACGCATGAAGTGAGCAAAGCATACCAACCATATACGGAATATACAGAGTGCCATATCATTTCCGTTCTGAATGGACGCATGAAGTGAGCAAAGCATACCAACCATATACGGAATATACAGAGTGTCATATCATTTCCGTTCCGAATGGACGCTTGAAGTGAACAAAACTTATAAACCATATACGGAATATAAAGAGTGCCATATCATGTCTGTCATGAACGGACGTATGAAGTGAGCAAAACATACAAACCCTATATGGAAAATACAGAGTGCCATATCATTCCCGTTCTGAATAGACGCATGAAGTGAGCAAAGCATACCAACCATATATGGAATATACAGAGTGCCATATCATTTCCGTTCTGAATGGACGCATGAAGTGAGCAAAGCATACCAACCATATACGGAATATACAGAGTGCCATATCATTTCCGTTCTGAATGGACGCATGAAGTGAGCAAAGCATACCAACCATATACGGAATATACAGAGTGCCATATCATTTCCGTTCTGAATGGACGCATGAAGTGAGCAAAGCATACCAACCATATACGGAATATACAGAGTGCCATATCATTTCCGTTCTGAATGGACGCATGAAGTGAGCAAAGCATACCAACCATATACGGAATATACAGAGTGCCATATCATTTCCGTTCTGAATGGACGCATGAAGTGAGCAAAGCATACCAACCATATACGGAATATACAGAGTGCCATATCATTTCCGTTCTGAATGGACGCATGAAGTGAGCAAAGCATACCAACCATATACGGAATATACAGAGTGCGATATCATTTCCGTTCTGAATGGACGCATGAAGTGAGCAAAGCATACCAACCATATACGGAATATACAGAGTGCCATATCATTTCCGTTCTGAATGGACGCATGAAGTGAGCAAAGCATACCAACCATATACGGAATATACAGAGTGCCATATCATTTCTGTCATGAACGGACGCATGAAGTGAGCAAAACATACAAACCATATATGGAATATACAGTGTACCACATACTTTTTATCATGAACGGACGTCCTAAATGAGCAAGAATTATTCAAAATTGAATATCGCTGTCGAATATAAATAAAATTCCTACTCTACTATGTCATTTGTTAATAGATAAATTAACAATATTCATTGTCTTAATATTTGTAATTCTGCCGGAATTATATATTTTCTTTATTAATTCATTTAATACTTTGTCTCTTAATTTATTGATAATATTGCTTTTTTAAATACAATTTAACATAATTTGGTCGCATATCAAATAGAATCGCTACCTGTCTGGCTCTAACTCACATGAAATGGCGTCATTAATCATTATCTGTTTCCTTCAAAACATGATGCCTATTATACCATTTTGAAATCTAGGATAAATGGCTCACCTTTTGAAGTAATTTGCCTAGATGATCTTATTTTTTCAACTACAACTAAAAGAAAGTACGTTAATTTTAACTAACCTAGCAACTTTTTTTTTGCTTGATTTGTGACTGCGATTAATAGCACGTTTATTTAAGACCACGATAGTGAAAAAATCACTGTATAATTGATAAATTTGTGGTCACAGTAGCTAATGATACGGTTTAAAGTGTCGATTTTCCACATTTCCATAAATTTTTCAGTTATAACTGAACTAACTGACATGGATATTATTCATTTTTATTTGGGGCTGTTGTAACCTTATAGTAAAGTGCCCTTGACTTTACTTATAGACGAACTACTATAAGTACTCTCTTATATACTCTTGATGCGCCCATGAAATGAGTGAATTCCTTACATTTAGGTAAATAATTTAAGCCTGTTTGATTTTTTTTATTTGTTTAATTTCAGAGTCAAATTTGGCCTATACAGCATAAACTTTGATGACGAGAACCGACGCCGCAATCCGCGCGCGTCTGCGAAGTACTACGCGGATGTCATACGAAGCCACAGTTACGACGTAGCGAACAAAAAATATACAACAGATAAACTTTACTCAGTTTTGTTTTATGTACCGGTGCCTATTCTCCTCTTGACGCTAATGCTAATGATGATTTCATGCCCGACGCCCTCAAAGTCATTTACCGCAAGACATCATAAATTAACGGACGTTCCCGATGCTCTTTAGTTCAATATAGTCTTTAGCAGATTTTGTAGTCTTTAGATCAATTTTTATTCGGTTTAGTAAATACACTTTAGTAGTCTTTAACACACTTTGTTACATTTTTCAGATGCGCGTTCAGTTCACTTCAGTACGGTGTAGTACACTTTAGTTGTTTTTAGTACAATTGTTTATCCTTTAGTGCACTGTAGCATACTTTGGTACAGATTTTTAAGGAAGTTTCTATTAGTGATGAGAATAAACGTGTCTTGTATATGTAACCGTCAAAATGATGTTTTGTTACTAACGAATATTGTTGTTTTAATTAAAATTATATTTAAGAACTTACTATTAGTGAGCTGAAGTGACAATATGCGGTCAAAAAGCTCAAAAAACAGGACAGAAGAGAGACCAGGACCAGAGATCAGATGCAGGTCCAGCGGCTTTACGTTATTTCATGGTAGTTTCATGCAGAAAGTCGATGGATACAGGTGGATCAGAACCATTTTTGTAGTATTCTTTGCGAAAGACTTCTATCAATCTTACCTCACCAGTAGATAGTAGACTTATGAAGGACTTTAATGATGATGAAGATGAAGAAGGAATTTACACGAAACGAAATGAAGGAGCCGTGCACTTCACCGAGCCAAATACTGGAATACTAGACGGGACACTCCTTGTAGAGAGAATTTGCCTTATCGTCACGGTAAGCAGGTGGATGGACGATCGCGATACTAAACGACTTTAGCCTTAAGACGATTAAGCCACGACTTTTTAGGCACCAGAGCGGCGTCACTTTGGAATGAGGTGTAATATTTACAGATTTCATGGCAGGGGAAGTTAATTTTTTTTAGAATGTAGACATCAATGTTTCTATTAAATCTCTAACTGTTCCAGCACACACAGCTGCAACTCTGTGTGCTGGAACAGTTAGAGTTATTAAAAAGTAATAACAGTAACGTTGCACTGCTGAATGAATAAACAAATGTTTCTAACTCACCTCTCCTAAATATCTTTAAGCCTGCTCTCTAATAGCAGACAGCCTAGCAATATGATCGTTTGTCACCCTCACGGTGATTGGCTATTGGTTGCGTGGTTGGAGGGTAGGCGGGCGTTGCGCGGAAGTTTGTTTTTAATTTTACAAACGGCTGCTTAAGTCTGGCGGTGATTGGTCGCATGTTTTATCGCAAGACGTGGTCGCTCGCTCCTTAAGCAGGGAGCGGTTGCGTCAGCGGTCTGTATAAAAGGCAGTTGTTTTAGCTCACCGCTCACTTAACGGTCAGCTACCGTAGAGTCTACATCACCTGAGGATGCCTCGTGTAGATGCGAAACACATGTCGTATTGTTGCTGGGATTAGTGGTGACGGGGATAGTGCACGCAATTGAGGGAGGGCGGAAGGTGCTGTAGAGGAAGTAAAAAAAATTAAAAATGTGTAAAAATTTACAGAACACTTACATGGTATTATAGAACATTTACGTAGTAGAGCCATGCTGCAGCTATATTATGGTTTTAGCACGAATGGGTCAGCTCAACTGGGAAAATACCACGCTCTCACAGAATACCAGAGTAAAATAGCTGCTGTGTTTCGCATGGTGAGTGTAGAGAACCGGAGACCCTTTTTAAACTTCTCCCACAAACATAGACCTAATAATAATTTAGTTTTAGATTATATAACATCAAAATATTGCAATAAAGATTTGAGATTGCAAAAATTTACATTAACTAGTACTTACATAACAAGCTTAGCTGTGATGAGTCACAGGTCATAAAATTTATTAAACATTGTCCTTCATAAATATTACATTTATTTCAAGTGAAGTTCAGAGGTATAGTTAAGATATAAGGTAGAATAAATAAATGAGAGAAGCTTAAGCCTATCCTGTGAATATTTAACAGAAAGCATAACACAAGAATATATTGACAAATTTAACATCAACTCACAAAAACCCATTTACAAAAGCATTTCTTAAGTTATAAGATGTTAAATCAAAATTTATTTAAAATAAACTGGAACATATATTCCTGATTATTGTTTTTTCGCAATGATAGCTCTTCTACGGGCCACTTCTGCTGCAATCAAGCTGGCCCTAAGTGTATAAGTGCTATAAAATAAAGATAATTTATTTTATTTTGTTAAATTAAATATGTAATATCTTCAAATAACTTCAACTTTTTTATAAAATAAGGAAATTCGAAATTCAAATAACTCCAATTTTAATGATTTCTTATATTTACGCGAACACTACACATTGAATAAAACTATTTTTACGGATTTTATCGCGTTTAATTAAGTGATTTTATATTCCCGACGTTTCGGTTGCTTTCCAGCAACCGTGGTCACGGGGGACTGAGGTGATTGACGTCCCGATGTCAAAGTTAACCCGGCGTACCTTCAGCTTTTTGATTATTAATTTTAAAATACAATTTTAAAATACAACAACTATTATCGGATGAAAGTACGTACGTAAAGGTCAAAACAGACCCTACAACTAATACGCTTAAAACAACTAGCGATCTAATAAAGAAATACTCCGAGAAACTGAATCTAGACGTTAATTCGATAATACCTGCGTGTGCCAAACAGCCGAAGTTGTATGGGTTACCAAAAATACACAAACTTAACGCTCCATTACGTCCAATAGTGAGTCAGATCGATTCGCCAACTTACAGATTGGCTCAACACTTAGCAAAAGTACTATCACCACTCAGAGGACATACAAGAGCACACACAAAGGATTCATACCATTTTGTCAGTGAGATAAAAGACCTATGTCTTACTGACAATGAAACTATGGTCAGTTTTGATCTTCAGTCTCTATTTACATGCCTACCTGTTGAAGACTGCATCTCAATTGTAACTAGGAAACTAGAGGAAAACAACATGCCAGCAGAATATGGAGTATTACTCAGACATTGCCTTACATCTGGCTCTCTATTGTGGAAGGAACAGTTTTACAAGCAAGTAGATGATGTTGCGATGGGCTCACCGGTATCTTCCATTGTCGTCGATATTTTCATGGAGGACTTTGAGGAGAAAGCCCTGCTTACTGCACCAGTAACTTCAAGTTTCTACAAGCGGTACGTAGACGATACTTTCACAATTTTACCATCAGACAAAGTAACTGTATTTTTAGAACATCTTAATTCCATAAATTCTAAAATTCAATTTACTATGGAGTTAGAGGCAAATAATTCTTTAGCTTTCCTAGATGTGTTAGTCATTCGAAATCCTAATAACACCGTAGGTCACACTGTGTATAGAAAAAAGACCCATACAAACCGATACTTAAACGGTGAATCCCACCATCACCCTTCACAGTTAGCTACCGTGGGCAAATCTTTGTTGCAGAGAGCACGAGGGATCTGTGACAGCAAACACCTGGCCGCCGAGCTTCAGCACGTCAAGCAGGTTCGGCACGACAACAGGCTTCGGGTTCCGCGCCTACGTCACAGTGACTGAGTGAAGCCGGCCACAGTCGAGCGTGTGCCTGCTGTACTACCATATGTCAGAGGCGTCACAGACAAGATTGGCTACATCTTGAAGCGAGCTTCTATTAAAACATTCTTCAAGCCGCCGCAGAAGATTAGTCAGTTCTTACCATCCGTCAAGTGCAATATTCTTCTACAAGATGCAGGAGTGTACAAGCTTGATTGTGAGTGTGGTCTCTCATATATAGGGCAAATAAAACGATCAATAAAAATCCGCGTAAAGTACACATAGCTGACGTGAAGTACCAACGTTCCGGGAAGTATGCAGTTTGTGATCATATCCTAGACGGCCCCCGCCATTACATTAGATTTCATAAACCACAAGTTCTCGCGAAAGAACATCGATTCCTGCCAAGGATGATAAGGTGAGGCTATTGAAATTAAAAAACATTCTAATTTCAATAGAGAGGGAGGCTGGGTACTACCACCTGCTTGGGATCCTTTAATTCATAAAATTAAAACTAAACCCAAGCATACCACTGCAAGACTTCAAGACACAGTTAGTTCATTCTGCGTAGATCGAACCAAAATTAATAATCAAAAAGCTGAAGTTACTCCGGGTTGACTTTGACATCGGGACGTCAATCACCTCAGTCCCCCGTGACCAAGGTTGCTGGAAAGCAACCGAAACGTCGGGAATATAAAATCACTTAATTAAACGCGATAAAAGCCGTAAAAGTAGTTTTATTCAACTTCAATTTTTTTATAAAATAAGGAAATTGCAAATTTTTCCATTTATTGGTATTATAATTCGCAACTCTGTCTTCAAACTTCTACAAGTTGTAAAGAACGTCTCGGACAAGGAAAGAGTATAATTAAATGGTTAAACGAACTTACCATAGAATTATTACACTGGGTAATAATTCTATGAGATTTACTTACATAATAACTGAAATCACAGATCCTCTTAAAACTACAAATATTATGCAACGATATACATGCCAAGAAGTATAAATGACGGAATATTTGTTGCAAATATTGAAATAACAAACGAGTAAAATGAAACATTTGGGTAATAAATTGCTTCCATAATTGTTTTTTTAATTTAAGTTAATTAAAACTTTAATATAAAATTGTTACGGCCTACAGCTGCCCTTGCAAAGGTCGTCTTGACTGGGACCCATAGCAGCTTCTTCGACGGGCAGACGCAGGTCGGGCCTCAATATGGCCACGTGGAATATGCTCTATCACAATAAACTATATGGGAGCAAACTAGAAAGCAAAGGTACTTACCTGTATCAGGAGCTAACTTCGCTCCAAGGCTTGGGTAGGCCGTGAGTGTGTGTAATGGTAGATAGCGAGTCGTGTACAGTGATGTGTGAATGTGTGGGGCCTTGGCAAGCATAGGCGACCAGCAGCGGCCGAGTTCCAGGCTGCTCCAAAATACTTCATTGCTCCAGACTGCTTCAGCGCCGGACCACTTGTTTCTTCACTGTCACTATTCAGTCTCTTAGCTTCATTGTACATTTAACTAACTTCAATTCGCCTAATTCCACACTCATCGCAGAGTTGAACACGTGATATTCGACACGGCAAG